CCCACTCCTCACCTCCCCCCAGTTTGAGACTCAACGAGGGCCATTCATGAGCCCAATTCTGAGTCCAATTTTGCAGCCAGCTGTGGGCTCCGAAATGTTTGCGCCATCTAGCCTGCTTTCTGCGAGTTTGCGACACCTGAGGGTGTTGTGGGCACTTTGCCGAAGGCTTTGCTAAAATCTAGATAGAGTATGTCCACAGCATTCTCACAGTCCATTTGGGAGGTGACCCAGTCAAAATATAAAATTAGATTTGTCTGGCAAAATTTATTCTTGAGAAATCCATGTTGACTTCAAGTAATGATTGCCTTGTCTTCAGGGCGTTTGCAGACGGTTTGTCTTATAATTTGCTCCAGAATTTTTCTGTTGCCTGATGGCCCAGATCGTTAGGAGGGTTTTCCTGAGGATTGTCTGAAATAGACCTTCCTGGAGCTTGAGCCAGTTCTTTTATCTCTGGACGCGGCAGAACCAGCTTCCTTCCATGCAACAACCCTTTGGGTATTTGGAAAGGCCTGTCATACGTCCTTTCCACCTGTTCTTAGGGTTTTGTCTCCCTTTTACTTTCAACATATCCGAAGAAGCCTTTGTTTTTAGCATTTGTTTCAACTCAGGTGCCTGGTCCAGCCAAAGCACCTTGCTTTTAGATTCAGAGAAACATAGAAGCAAAGCAAGTCAGAAGGGGCCTCCCGGGCCATCTAGTCTGACCCCGGCTCCAGCTGGCTCTGCCCACGACATGCCCACCATGTGCACGTCCAGCCTCTCCTTGAACACCTGCACCGACGGGGCCTCAACGACCTCTCGTGGAAGCCCATTCCACACCCTCGGGGTCCCGACTGTCAGGAAGTGCTTCCTGGCATCCAAACAGAACCTTGGCTCCCTGAGCTTTGCTCCATTGGGGCACGTCCTGCCTTCCTCTGCAGGGGAGGACAGGTCTCTACCCATCTCCATGTGACACCCCCTCACATACCTGTATGTCGCCAACAGATCCCCACCGAGTCTCCTCTTCTCCAGGCTGAAGAGACCCAGTTCCCTCAGTCTCGCCTCATACAGCATCCCCTGCAAAAAGGCCACCAGCCTTGTGGCCCTACGCTGCACTGACTCCAACCTGGCTATACCCTTCCTGTAATGAGGGGCCCAGAACTCAAAGCTTACACTCCCCTTCTACACGGCTGCACCGATTCCCTGAATAGGCCACAGGACGCCTGCTGAGCCTCCAGAGCAGATGTTCCGTGTGCAGGCAGCACACTGATTTCTCTCCCCAGACTAAGAACAACAGTGAGCGCCTCTTGCAATGGATTTTACCAAGCCTCTCCCCCACTTCTGCAGAGACGTTTGCAGAAGGCACACCGGCTCTTTCTCCCTTCCTAGGAAGTGGGGGCGAAGCTGCTTCAGAAGGGCAAACAGTCTTGTTCTCACAGCAAAAGCAGTCCTTGGTCTACCAGAGGACTGGGCCATAGTCCCTGGTGCTCTGCCTAATAAGCGGAGGCTCTGCTGGAACCTGGCCTGTGCCACTCCAGCCCCAAATCTGTTGGCCAAGCCTGCTGGACGTCTTCCCGGAGCCCTGAGCTTTGCTTGGTGCCAACAGAACGATTTCTGTCTCGGCTGAATTGCTACCAGGGGCTGCGATCAACGGGGATCGCACACCCTCCTCACACCCCCTGCATGGCAATGGAGCTTACAAAAATAACCTTGCGGGTGCTAATGGGAGCAATTTTCCCCCAGGCTTCACTGTATGGGGGGAGGAGGAGAACACAGAGCTTCTGAAAAAAACTTGTCATCCACATTTTCACACCTGTTTGCAACCCTTGCAAATTAACTGTAACTGAGGAAGCAACATTCAGGCTGTTCTGCAGGTGGGCTGCAAGCTAATTAAACAGATCTTTTGATCTGGAGCGGTTTGGATGGGGAATAAATTGGCTGGCTTGGCCTTCCAGGAAACTTCCAGAAATCCTAGCAATTCTTTCTGCATTTGCGTGTGCATGCTGTTTGTATATTTTGTGCAGATTTCTGCCCTGCAGCCCTGGCTCCTGACCTGATAAGGGCCCGAAAACACCCCTGACCTCAGTCGTGCAGTCAAAGGCTTTGTCTCTCAGCCAAAAGCCCTGCATTCGGTCGCTGGCATATTGATCTGGTACCAAGTGATGCGCAAGTCCCTGCCTTACAGGAAGGGTTGGCAGTGCTTTGCTAGTGGGACCTGCGACTGCCTTTGTTGCCAGAAAAGATTCCCCAGCACAAGGCTCATCTTGTTCTGTGCTGCATTGGGAACATTCGGATAAATCCTGGCAGAAAGACGTTGCTTTTATGCGCCTTTGTGTTATAAAATCAAACCTGCACCACTTTCTGAGAAAGCACCCTAATTCCAAGCCGGGTTACTGCTTAGCATTTGCTGTTACTTTTAGAAGTGGGACCTGATGGCTGCCCCAAGAAGCTGCCAGGGCTGTTGTTTGGCTGATCAGGCCGCCAGGTAAACAGCACTGCAATCCCCCTCATTTGCATGCCCAGACCCACATGATCCCTGTGCCTCAGGGATCCTCCTGTTAATCTCCTGCCATCAAATGCCATACCTGCCCTCCCGCCCCTTCCATGGCAGAGGCCAGAGGCCCTTCTCCAGGAACCCTCCGTGAAGGACATTAGGAGAGTGAGCACCCGGAGGAGGGCTTTCTCTGCGGTGCGCCCCACCTCTGGAATGCGCTCCCCAGAGAGGTCCGCCTGGCGCCGTCGTTATTTGCTTTTCGGTGCCAGGCAAAGACCTTTTTATTTAAACAACATTTTAATTGTTGACTTATTTATTGATTTTAACAACTTTGGCCACGATGTCTCCAACTGTATTTTATTGTATTAGTGATATTTATTTATTTGTAAGCCGCCCCGACTTACAAATACATACATATAAGTATGTTAAATAAATAAGTAAACAAATAATACTGAGCCCCCTCTGCAGACCTCTCGCCTTCTTCTCTCTGTGTTCCCCTTTTTCCGTCACCAGCTGCTGGGCCCATGTGACTCAGAATCTATAAAACACTCTGTGTATGTTCTGGAAGCTTGTAGTTGGCGGTGGAGACCCCTACCCGGGAGCGTGCTGCTGCGAGTAACCACAGGGGGCCGGGGAGATCTCTCCAATAAAAGCGCAGGGGCTCAAGCAATTCAGTCTTCCTGCGGTCCCAGTAATTCACTCCCGCCATCAGAAGAGAGACTCTGACACTGGACCGCCTGCTTCCCGGCCGGGGCACGGCCGGGGCATGGGGGCCGCTTGCTCCCGACTCTCTGCCGGAGCAAACAAGCTTGGGGACCGTCATGCCGAGGAGGTCGGTTTGAGGGGGGCGGCACCCCGGATGGGCTCCAGCCCTCCTGAAACGCCAGAGGCAGAGAACACGGTGCCTCAGATATGTGGGTCTGCGACCCCCACAACCCTTTGCCATGGTGGCCATGCTGACCAGGAGTGATGGGAATCGTAGTCCAACACTTCTGGAGCGCGCCGGGTTGGCTATCCCGACACTGTCCAGCCCGTCACTTAGAAGGAAAGCAAGAGTTTGAATGCATGCGACACATTAAAAATGGCTCCGTAACTATTAAAGCATCAATATCTTGGGTTAAGGTGCATTTTATACTGTATTCTTAGCATACTGCTGTGAACTTCCCAGAGAGCTTCGGCTCTTGGGCACAGAAGTCAAATTAATAATATTAACATTGTCTGACTCTTACATCCCATCGCACCGCCAAGTGGACGGCAAGAACTGAGTGGCCAGCCTCTACCGAAATGGTCTGGATGCATCCACACGAACTGGATTCCATGGAGAAGGCGTGCACATTCAAAAGATGTGTTTTTGAACAGCTTGCTTTGTCGCATTTTTTAAATACCAGATCACACACATGATAAAATAGGGAAAGAAATGCAAGTGTGAAAATGGGCAAAGTTGCCGGAGAAGTCCCTTTCTGGGCACCCCGGAATGGCCCCTTGGATGCACCCAGCGCTCATCCTGGAGTGCAGGACAAGGCGCTGGGGCCTTCCCTGCCCTCTCGAGACCAGCAGGAGCCCTCCGTGCCTGAGCGGCCCTCGGCTTGTACACTCACTGAGCGAAAGGCAGACAATCATCCACAACCCGACCCTGTAAGAATCCTTTCAATGCCACCCGTCTCTTTCCCAACCCACTCCCCTCCAGACAGCCTGGCCTACAACCCCCATCATCCCCAGGGAACATCATTCCTGCATGGGCATCTGCACAGAGCTTCCAGCCAGCCACCCGCAGGGCTTGGGGCTGGTCGCTCAACGGGGCGGCCTCCTCCCATGGAAAGCTGCACCTGCCGCGGCCTCAAGGCCTCTCGCCACGTTGTGCTGGCACAAGGTGTTGCGAACACAGCTTTGCCAAAGCCTTCCTGCACTTCTGTGCAAATAAAGGGTTATTGTTATTGAGAGGCAGTGTGGCACAGTGGTTAGAGTGTTGCGGTGGGGAGCCAAGTGATGCAGACTCAAGGCCCCATTGGCCATGAAGCCCACCGGGCTTCCTTGGGCCAGTCACTCACCGTCAGCCTGTCCTACCTCGTGGGATTGTTGTTGCAGGGGTGAAATGGCACGTTGCGTTCATTGCAAGATGGGAAGCAGGTGGGATGCAAACGCAATGTGATTAAAAATACTATTAACCCTGATAGGCTTCCAAAGAGTGAGGGCAGGGAATGCAAGCCGCCTCTAGCGGAATACATTCTTGCTAATGCAGATTAATAATAACTGCTCCTTCCACGGCCGGCCGCGGCAAGTAGGCCAGGCGCCCGCGGTCACCAGCTTGGCGCTCTCCTAAGCCTCTTGGGCGGCAAGCCAAGTCTCCCCCCTCGCTAGCCGCTGGAGCCGCCCCCCCGCCCTCATTGGCTGCGCGGCGAGAGGCTCCGCCCCTTTCGAACGTTGTGTATCCGGCGCTGGCAGGCGGGCCGCGCTCTTCCTTCGCGGGACTTCCGAGGGCGCCGCGCGCCAGCCCAGGTAACGGCGGCGGCGGCGGCGGCGGCGGCGGCGGGGGGCCCTGGCCGTGCTCGGCCGGCTCGGGCCTCGTGGCGGGGCGAGGGGCGCGGCAAGGCACGGCTGCATCCACGCCTGCTCCTTCCGGCGCGGAGCGGTAGGTGCGGGTGCGCGCCGCCGTCTCGACGCTCTCGTGTGTCTAAAGCCAGCCCCCTGCAAGCAGAAAGGCAGCCCGGCAGGGGGGTGCGGAGAGCCGGGGCGGACGCTTTCCTGCAGGCGCGACTTTTCCAACGTGCGAAGTCGGTTGCCTTGTTCGATGTGCGGGGAGAGTCCCATCTTGAAATGCTCCTGTGCGTTAAAAAGAGCAAAAGCAAACACGAAGCAGCAGCCTTGGCTGGAACTGGAAGAACAGCAAGAGCGCCCCCCCCCCCCGCCAGCCCGGCGGGTTTAACACCTTGATCGTTCACCCAACCACTTATTCCACTTGTTTGCGTATTCCCTGCGTGTTTATCCCGCTTGTCTTCCGAAGCAACTCGCATCCATACAAGGGCCAAGGCTGTCCTCAGGCGCTCAGATTAAAACCCCAGGTACCCTGTTGTTGGACTCCTGTAGCAGCATTGCTTTAAATGTTGTTGCAAGGCCGTTCAGGATTTCAAAATGGGAACATGCGTGCAAATGTTTTCAGTGGAATGGAAGTTGCAGACATCCACTTCGGAGTGTGTCCTCAAGGAGGTTCTTCGTAGGACTCAAATCTCCTGAGAGGGCCGTTCTAGAGTCAGTCGCTCTTGAAAGCCACCCCAAGCCCTTGTCTGTCGGCTCCTCCTGCAGCACAAGTAACTTGCATGAATTAAGCTTCTGGGGTCTTCGAGCTGAGCCGGCGAGTTGCCTGTCGTTTGGGTGCACCCGAGTTCTGTGTCGTGCAAGCTGCTTCCGGCTGGCATGTCGGTGTTGCGACCACAGCCTTTTGGAGCGGGGCCTTTCATGTGGTATCGAGTCGCTTTCTGTCTGAGATCAGACATAATGTGCCTGCGCTTCTCATTTTTTGGCAGCTGTCGAAGGCCCCCACTGGGACCAGAGTCGGCTCGCACCGAGCACAATCTGACCCTGTGGCTTCTCTTGCACACCCAGGTGGCCCAGGGTGCAAGATGGCCCCCCGATGGTCCAGGCGGCTCAGTGGTGGCGAAAGCTGAGATGTTCCTGGCCGTCCGTTTGAGGGATGGAGCGCCTCCTTCATAAATCCCCTCCTTCCAGTTAGTCAGTTTGTAGGCCTGTTTCAGGCCTCTCCCCAGCCAACAGGACTAGGAACTTAAAACAAAAGCAAGCGCAACTAATCATGTTGTGATTGCAGAATGCGCCCATGTCTGTTTGGAACAGTCATTTGTCAAACGGGGTGTGAAGAGGAGCTGGACAGACTCCGTTCCTGTCATCCGTTTACTGCTTCTGCCTTTGAATGGTAGCCCTCCAGAGATCGTGGAGAACGGATCATGGCCGGAAGAGGGGGCCGAGGAAGGGGCCGTGGCGGTCACATGACCTTCAACGTCGAAGCTGTGGGCATTGGGAAGGGTGAGGCGCTGCCCCCTCCCACCCTCCAGCCATCGCCGCTGTTCCCGGTGAGTCTGTCTCCATCCTCACTGAGACCTTTTTTGTGGGGGGACCTCCACTGGGTGGCTTTTTGCTTGCAATATTTGGCATCTGCGTTTCCCATCGAAGAAGGTGCATACGTGCCTTTGCAGCCTGTGGCCTCAGCACAGGTTGAGCACACAGGTAGGTTGGCAGATGCCGCCTCTTAGGTTGCGATTCTCAGGTTCACATGCTGGCTTCCCCCGCTGTTCTGTAGCCCTTGGAATACAAGCCGGTCCCGCTGCAGGCCGGAGAGGAGGTTGAGTACATGCTGGCCCTGAAGCAGGAGCTGAGGGGGGCGACGAAGACCTTGCCGTACTTCATCAAACCATCTGCCCCCAAGAAAGGTATGTGCTCCTAGAAGGGCGTGGGAGCTGCGCTTGCATCCTGTCTTCTTTTCCTTTGTGAGGATCCCACACAGTTCACGTCCACTCCGTTTTTTATCCTCACCACAACCCTGTGAGGTGGGTTCTGCTGAGAGTGAGTGCCTGGCCCAGGGTCACTCGCTGAGCATCTGGCCGAGTGGGGACTTGAACCCGGATCTCTTAGACACTTTCACCACCCTGCTGATGCTCAGCATCCCAGAAAGCTCTGTGCAGAGAGGCTGGGGTGCAGAAGGATTGGATCCATGCCTACGTCCTGCATGTTTTCACTAAAACAGCAGCCATTTTCTTTTAACTGGAGAATCCAGCCATGCCCATCACTGATTGGTCAAACTTTTAATGTCACAGCAAGTTTCTGCGATTTCTTTTTTGAAGAGGGGAAGATCAGCTGTGGGATGTTCACAGGCAGTGGGGCTTCTTGGAGAGAAAGGTCAGTTTGAGCTGGGAGGGAACCCTCACCCAGGGCCGGGGGACAGGGGGGCCCGTGCTCCGTTGGCAGCAGCGGCGGACAGAGTCCGGTTTGCTGGAGAGACAGTTTCCTGGAAGATCAGGGACTCGGTTCAAGAGGCAGGATCTGCCCCTTCTTACAGCCAGGAGGCAGGGCAATCTCGGTAGCTTAAATTTTCCTCACATCTCTGCGTTGGCAAAAGTGGCACCTGTTCTGTTTCTGTTTAACGTGCGGCTGCTAAAGCACCAGAGTATCAGAGACACCACACAAAAGCGAAGGGGCCGGGAAGGGGAGGAGGGCAGCCTTAACGGCTTCTGAGGGACGCCGGGTGCCTCGTAACGCTGGCCTGGCTGGATGCAGGAACTCTTCCCCGAGGATGCCCTCTTGGGTGCGGGTGCTGCCCCAGTCGAGTGGGTGGCCAGGATCCACTGGGAATCCACCCCTGGGATCCCACACGTGGCAGATGCCCGGTTCCCGTCTGCTCCTGGCTGGGGCTGGGCAAGGGCGAGGCGGGCGCAGGCTAGGCCGACGGGAAGGGCCCGGCTCAGCCAGCACGCTGGCCCACCGCGCATCGGTCCGGATGCGTGTCCGGATTGGAAGGCAGGGAAGGGCCCCAGCTCGGTGAGGGCACCGCTGCTGGCCACGTCGGCTCACGTCCTGGCATCTCAGGGCAGGGCTGGAAGCAGTCTGGCCAGAACCCCGACGGGGCACGAGGACAGTCCCAACGAGGAAGGGGCGGCGTGAGCCCTGCAGCAAACCTCGGGCAGCCCAGAGGTTATGCCTGTCCCCGGAAGGGTGTTCTCGGAGAGGGCCCAGAGCAGCCCCGCCAAAATATTGGGGTATGAGAGCGGCAGCTCTGAGCTTGGGGGCAAAGCAGGGGGCTTTGGCAGGAGGGTGGGGTGCACAGGGATTCTGCAGGAACCGCGACCCACTGGCGCTCTCCCCAGTGGCGTTTGCCGTTATGCTCAGGCTGCCCAGGAAGGTCCCTGCCCTGTGGGGTGGCCCGGATGATTGAAAACACAGACTGGAGCGTGTGCTTGATTACACTTGCATCGCGCCTTCTTCCTCCAACGGGGGGCCCAGCAGGGCTCGCACAATCCTCTTTCTCTCTACCATTTTACCCTTGAAACAACAGCCCTGTGAGGTAGGCGAGGCAAAGGGTCAGCAGTGGCCCGAGTTCAGCTTCTAAGTGGATGGGGGTCTCGAACCCAGACCCTCTGAGCCAGTCCAGCACTCTAGCCACCTGCTGGCCCGGCAGGGGAGGCGTGTGCCTCGGCCAGGGCTCGTTGTTCTGCAGAAGTGCGGCTAGTCATGCTGCAGCTGCACCCGAGGGGGTGCGGAAGATGGCGGCTGGGGAGGGAGCTTGCGTGCACTTGGGCTCCTTTCCTTCACTGCATTTCCCGTTCTTGTGCGTTGGCTTTCTCAGATGTGGAACGCTATTCGGACAAGTACCAGACGTCTGGCCCGGTGGATAACGCCATCGAGTGGAGCCCAGGTGAGTGCGGGCATCTCTCCTTGGCCACGTTTGTCTTGATGGGCCCTTTAAGCAAACATTTTAAATCTTTGAAAGCAAATGTCCAATTTCCTTAGGTGGTTTAGATCTGCTCCCTCACCCAAAAGGAAGCAGATCCATTCTGCCCCGTCTATCTTAACATAGAAGCAGAGCGAGTCAGAAGGGGCCTCCTGGGCCACCTAGTCTGATCTCCAGCTCCAGCCAGCTCCGCTCACAACATGCCCACCATGTGGACGTCCAGCCTATCCTTGAACACCCGCACCGATGGGGCCTCTACGACCTCCTGGGGGAGCCCATTCCACACCCTTGGGGTCCTGACTGTCAGGAAGTGCTTCCTGGCATCCAAATGGAACCTTGGCTCCCTGAGCTTTGCTCCATTGGAGCGCGTCCTGCCTTCCTCTGCAGGGGAGGACTGGTCTCTACCCACCTCTGTGTGACACCCCCTCACGTACCTGTATGTCGCCAACAGATCCCCTCTGAGTCTCCCCTTCTCCAGGCTGAAGAGACCCAGTTCCCCCAGTCTCACCTCATACGGCATCCCCTGCAAACCGGCCACCATCCTTGTGGCCCTACGCTGCACTGACTCCAACCTGGCTATATCCTTCCTGTAATGAGGGGCCCAGAACTGAACACAACAGTCCAGCTGCAGGCACACCAGAGTCGCATAGAGGGGCAGTGATACCTCTCTCGATCCAGAAGCCACACTTCTGGCTATGCAACCAAGGGTGGCGTTCACCCTCTTGACCACCGCGTCACACGGCTGACTCATGTTCAGCCTGCAGTCAACCAGCACCCCGAGGTCCCTTTCGCAAGCGCTGCTCTCCAGCCACTTGTCACCTAACCTGTACTTATGACACCTATTCCTATGCCCCAAGTGCAAGACCTTGCACTTATCCACATTGAACGCCATCCTGTTGTCTCCTGCCCACTTCCATAGTCTGTCCAGATCCCTTTGGATCTGGAGTACCTGCTCCTCAGTTGTGGCCACTGCCCCAGTTTTATTGTCGTCTGCGAATCTGATCAGCAGACGGTTCACCCCTTCTTCCATGTCATTGATGAAAAGATCGAACAGGATCGGCCCCAGGACTGAGCCCCTTTTGTTGCCCCAGGTATCCTTGGCAAGTCTCAGCTCGTAATCAGCCTTGGCCTCCCCCCCTTTTGTCTATTTGCCCCTGTGCCCATTTCCTGTGAAGGTTCCTCTTCCGTCTAATCCCGCTTACCACCTCTTTTGCACCCGTGACGGCACTCTCCCCCGCCTTGCTAACTCATGGTGTTGTCCCTGCTTGCGCCACCAAGGCCTCCCGTTGAGCGCCACTCATCCAACATGAGTCTCTCTATCTTTCACGCCTCCCGAGGTTCTCCCAGTGTCCCCACTGTCCTTCCCCACACCACAAATTGTTTGGTGGGTTTTTGTTTGGTGTATCCCCCCTTTGCGAAGGCTGCAGTTCCTCTCTTTGAGGCTTCAGGGCTGGCTGTAAGAGCTTTCAGCTTAAGTATGCTGCCATTTTTTGGGTAGTTTGTCCCTGCCCATTTTGCCCGTGGCTCCATCCATCCTGGAATTCGACTCTGGGGCTGAAAGAGGTTCCCCGTCTGCTCCAGAGTCAGTTCTTGCGCACTTGCAGGCTTCCGCCACAGAAAGGACTCGTTCCTCGGCCTGCCCCCCGGGCTCCAGAAAGCTCTGTGCTGGTTAAAGCTGTGTAGTTCACTGTAACGCCAAGTGTTACACTGGTGTTTCCTACCAGAAGGACCAAAAATATCTTAAGAAAACATCACCCTCTGAACTTAAAAAGGCTTGAAAACTGGTGCTATTTTATTTTTATTTTGGGTGGGGGAATTTTCTAAGGAGATCCATTTCTGAGAATGCAGCTCAAAACGCATTGAGTTTTTCTTTAGAAATGTATGTGTCATATTCTACAGAGAGCTTTAGGGTGACAAGAGTTCCCTTTGGGGGTTTTGCTGGTTTCCTTCCTCCTCACCCACTTCCTGGTAAGGCTTTGGAAAACTGAGTAAATTTTCTACAAATCACGTCATTTATATCAAAGACCTGGAACTCTCTGCCCTAGGAAATTAGAAGGGCTGTTTCAGAAGCATCCATTCATATAAAGCGTGTGCAGACAGATGCCACTTAGGGGATTGGTCCCATCCAGACATCACTCAGCTTCCCATCAGAACATTGGAGACATTGCAGGTAATTTCCCACCAAGAGTGTGAAGCAAAATTCCCGGTAGATTATTTTGTAAGTCGGTGTAATTAACTGCTCTTGATTACCAAAGAGAGGAATTGCAGTAAAAAAACACAAGTCAGAACTTGCCTTTGTGTCAAACTAGTTGAGCAAAATGTCATAAAGTGGAATGTGTATCTCTGCAGATTGGAGGCGGCTTCCGCAAGAACTAAAAATCCGTGTACGGAAGCTGCGGAAACAGAGTAAGTACTTCTCAGAAGAGACATTAAAAAGTGTGAGATGGATCCCCAAAGCCACTTTCCCAGTGTTGATTTTGTCAACATCCTTGCGGGAGGTTGGTCAAGCGGAGGGGGGGATTTTGAACCAGCATGTGTACGACACAGCTCTGCCCACTGCACCACACTGCTGTGGACCCTCTCCCTGTCACGACTTCCCGTGCCTCCAGGCTTTCCTGTAAGCAAGCCTCGGCTTGCCCTGCCCTCCACTTAGATCTGGGGCAAATGCTACCATGGGTGGATTGCGCACCCCACCTTGATGCCTGAAAAGCAAGCGAGCGGAAGAGAAGGGGTGCAGCTCATTCCAGTGGAACCTCCCCAGCTGTCGGGGGCTTAATTTTGAGCCTGGAAGCCCAGATCAGAGGAAAATGCCAGTGTGGGGGGGAGAGGTTCTTCCGGGAGAGCGAAGGGGCCCCGTAACTGGGAGCGTGCCCGCCCACCTTGTCCAAAGACAAGTGGCTGAGAGGTCCACCCTCTTGGATGTTCCAGGCCTCACCTGTTCGGGATTTTGCATGCAGGCTTTTCCCGGGGCCCCACGTTCTGGCAGCTCCCTCCTCGTTCTCCTCCGAGGAGGTGCCCTGCTGCAGGATGTGGCGCCTCGCCCAGGATTCCGGGAAATGCCCTCTTGGCTAGAGATGGAAAGCGGGGGGGCCATCGCCTGAGGAGGGGGTGCAGGACCGCAGCATGGGGCCAGGCCTTCTAGGTGGGGGCCCCGCTGTGCAACGACCTCCCGAGTGAGCTGCCTTTGGGCACTGCCTTGTCCTCTGCCCCCGGGCATTTGGCCGCCTTCCGAAGGGCCCTGTGCTTTTCATCATGGGAGGACATCTTGCATGTCTACGGAAATCGCTTCATCGTGTGCCTCTCGCAGTTCTGGTGTTCTTACCTCCGTGAAGTGCCCAGCGAGCTTCGGCTGTCGGGGAGCAGAGAAATGCAGCAAACTGGAGCGTGTGCTCCACGCTCTCGAGCTGATTCTCAGGGCGTCTTCTCCCCGCTTGCTCCTCTCCTTGGGGGCCAGCAGGCTGTTAGGGATAATTCTGGCTGCTCCCCTGAAGCGTGGCTAGAAAAGGACGGGTGGCCCTGGCCGTGTCTCTGTGTGTGACCCGCCTGGTCCCTTTCGGTGCAGGAGAGACCATCCTTGCTCCGAAGCGCAAGCCGCAGCTGCCGGTGGACAAGGAGGAAGCCATCAAGAAGCTGGAGGTAGGCATGGGGGTGGCCGGGGGCCCTTTAGGGTGCTGGGGGGCCCATCTGGGGCCAGCGCTACAACCTGGTGCGAGGAACAGCTAGCCACGCACCCCCATTCCCAGAATTCCTGCTGAATACGGTCCGTGGCATCACTGTGCCTCCGGGCTCGACTTTTCTCCTGGTAGGCAGACATGGACGATGGGTGTCCTTCCAGATGTTTCTGCCTACATCTCCCATCAGCCTTGCCCTGCATGGTTGAGGGTGAGGAGGCATGGGAGTTGTTGGCCAAAACTTCCGGTGGGTCCCAAGTTGCGTCCACCTTGTGAACGGCGCTCCCCCTCAGCTCTTAGCGTGTTTGGACAGTGAGCAGATGCGACTTCTCACTGGGTCTGCGTGCTCAGAGGTACCTTCGCCTGCTGACTTGCCGCGTGCCAGGATGCCGGCACAGGCCGGGCACAGGGTCTGCCCTCCTCAGTCTGGATGCCAGCCTGGAGACGGTCCGGATGGCGTGGCTGCAGTCGCAGTGCCTGGATTATGCACCACTTGGTCTGGGATGCTCCATATTACTTTGGGTCGCGTTGTTTTCTGTCCTCTTTATATGTTCACGGCAAAAGCACGTGCCGCCGCCACCACCCCTTGTGCAACTTGGACACTGAAAGCAGCCCAAAACGAGAGGGGACACGTGCTTCCAGGACGGAGTGCGCAAGAAAAAGCAGAGCTAGCCTGTCCCCGTCTGGAAGCGAGGACTTGTGCCCGCTTCTGGAGCCGATTCCTGAACTAACTTTCCTTGTGTGGGCAGTGGGGCCTGCTCTTGTGGCCTGGGGACCGCCCACCTGCTGTGCAAAGCAAGGAAAACCCAACTACATGCAATCTTTGACCAGAAAAGGGTAACGCATTTCTTGGACTGTACCACTTTGGGTGACAGGTGGAAGTTGACAAGTTTTGGTACTGTCCCCTGCGGATAAGAAAAAAGCAATCCCGGAAGAGGGCTCAGTTGAGCCTTTTCCCTGATGTGCTAGCTTTCTCCATGCAGGGAGGGCTGCAACTTTTTTCACAGAGCAGCATTTGAACATGCCACTTTTGTTCTTGCATGAAATTGTACAGCCAGTGACAAACCTGAGTTTTCCAGCTGGGTCTGCCTGGGGGTCGGAGACCGACTTTCTCTTGGGCCCCCCCCCCCAAGTGCTTTGGGTGCCAGGTGACCCATCCCAAGACCAAGTGGCTTATTTGGTAGAGGGGGAGAATCTCGAGCAAAGTCAGGCCTCTTCAGCACGTTTGTTTAATGTGATCCTGGTTTTTCTCTTAGCCCCAAGTCCTTTTTTCACCGCCAAGGCATCAGCTCGGGCAGGTGTGAAACAGACCAGCTGTTAACTTATTTCTCTCCCACCCATCTTGCCACCCTCCTTGAACCATTTCCCAGACTCTGGAAAAGAAAGAAGAGGAAGTGATATCTGAAGAGGAAGAGGAGAAGGAAGAGGAAGAGGAAGGGAAGGAGGGGGACGAGGAAGAATACGATGAGGAGGAATATGAAGAGGTAGGGACGGTGCGAGGGGCCCAGAAGGGCACCGCTTCCATATTTCAGTGCCTGGTGGGCATCACGGGTGAGTTGCAGGTGCGCCTCGGCCGCCCTTCACGCGTCCAGCGCTGTGCTTGTGGGCCAGGCGAGGGGGGCAGAGCGACGTGTTCAGCCTCCGCTGCCCTGCTGCAGGACCGCCGCTGGGACCCGTGGAGAAGACACCCCACCCGATCCCCCTTTTCTAAAAAAGAGAGACGTTGCTTTCCTTAAGTCCTCCATGTCTGTGGGGAATATCTGATCTCGGGAGGAGGTTGCGGGGCCTTCGGTATCTCGCTGAGGGTCTTTCCCATTCCCAAAGCAGCCGATTAGTCGTCGTCTGCCTGGTCCTGTCTCTTCTAAAGTGGGAATTGTTTGGGATCGTTAACTGACTGAGCTGCCCCAAGATCTGTTGCATTACGGTGGCGGGGGGGGGGGGGGCTTCCTGGGAGAGAACGTCCCCTCCGAGCTGCCACGAGGGCTGTCACTAAGTTTGAAGGGGAGAGAATACGGGTGCCGGAGGAATCCTTTGGGGGCGGGAGTCTGCCCCCTCCCTGGCTCGCCCCGGGACTCTTGTTCATGCGCTTCCGCTCAGCTCCCCTCACCAGTCCCTGAGCAAGAGAGGAGGAGGGTGCTGGAGGGGGGGAGTCTGCTCAGGGGCGCCCCACCCCTCGCCCCCGAGGCTGGCGGAGGCCCGAGGGCCCCGTGGCTTCGCGTCTCCACTGCACCCTGCGCCCACGTGGAGCCCGAGCCCCACGGCCTCGCTTTGCTGTCACTGCCTCTCCCCCCCCCCCCCCCCGTCAACAGGAGACGGACTACATCATGTCCTA